AAGGAAAGGGGAAGGGAAATTTTCTTTCTTTCTTCTTCTTTTTTTTTTTCATAGCGAAAGTCTTCCTACGGAAGCCACACCCACTGAAATCTGACAGCAATTGCTGTTGAAGTCCTTAGGTTAGTAGCCAGTGGGAACGGGCCCACTCCTTTTTCTTGGTGGCATTGCTGTGACTTTGGCTTCCTAGACATTCTTCTAAATGTTTTTTTTTTTAATTCAGGATATGTGTTAGATATTGCTAGGACATATTTGACCAAAGTGTGCTTGTTGTGGTTAATGTTTATTTATTATTTATTTATTTTGTGGTGCTGGGATGAAGCCATGCTAGGCACGCTTGGCTGGCTCTCTAGGCCTTTTTAACTTCTGGATTTGGGGTTCTCTACTTTGGTGTGCTCGTTTCTGGGATTTCCTTGTGGCTCTCTTTGTCTCTTCCCTTTCTACCCCATCATTGTGCTTACGTAGTTCTCCTAACCTTGGCCCTGAGCTTTCTGTGGGCTTCCTCGCCATGTGCAGCTTCTGCCGCCCAGTCCGTTCTGGTCCTTTATAGGATCCGAGTTCACCCCTCACATCAGACTTTTTATCCTAATAGTGAATGTGTTCCTCTTGTTACGTATTTATTTACCATCCCAACTGCAGCTTTCCCCCCTCTCTTCCTAGTACTGTCCCTACTGCTCCTCTGCCCCCTCCCCCATTCATTCCTCCTTTCTATTCAGAAAAAGGCAGGCCTCCCATGGATACCCACAAAACACTGCGGAGTGTGAGTGGCGTACGCCTTTGATCCCAGCACCCCTGAAGAGGCAGGTGCATCTCTGTGAGTTTATCCTAGACTGGCCTACATAGTGAGTTCCAGGATAGTCCGGGCTACATAGAGAGACACTGTTTCAAAAACAAAGCAACAAAAAGGTTTTCTAGTGTCATCTCTGTTATAGTAACCAGAAGATGATTGGTAGGAGTGATTCCTGGTCTTGTAAGAGTCACTGCAGTGTTCCACAATGACTGCTTCTCCCAAAGGAGAAGATAAGTCCTGCCAAGCCCTAGCAAACTTGGTCAAGCCACCAGTTTGGAAGAATTGGAGACTCAGCATCAGAAACAGTCACATAGAAACTTCTGGACACACTTGACACTGAAGGAAAGAGAGTCAAGCCATCAGAATAAGGAGTTAAAGAAGGGACAGACGACAGAATGGTTACAGAGAAGTCAGAGTGTTCAGAAGCGGAGTCTGTCAGCCAGAACAGCTGCAGGGAGCAGGGCACTTTTATTCTTGTGTGCCTTAGGGCAACTGCCCCAGCCAAGCTGGACTAGACTCATGGGTTTGGAATTTATTTCCACATTCTGCATTCCCGGGGAAGTGTTTGTAAAACATGCTTTCCTCCTGGAAACCTTCAGGAAACCTGGGGGATAAAAGTCTTTTTAATGCCTGCCCAAGAGAATCTTGCACAACCCAAACTGCGTTAAAATAGACCCACTGGCCCTGGGTTCCTGTTCAAGAACAGCTTGTTGTGGAGGTTGCATGCTTGAAGGATACTCTGCAGGAGCAGAAACGTCCCAGAGAACCGTGTGAACCTGTGCAGACGCCATCTGTCAATCTAGCTCAGTTCTGCGTTCAGGTAAATAGGGCCTCATGAGCTGTGTTCCAGGGAGTCTCCTTGGTGCAGAATGCTGTGGCCACTTTCCAAAACCATTCTTTTGTTTGGGAACATTTACCCAGCACACCCTGAATGCCTCGGCACACCACACGGGGGGGGGGGGTGTTGGCACTTGTTTCCACAGTGTTATTTGCTTAGCTCTTGAAGGGTGCTTGGTTCGCTGTTGGGGTCCGGTTCTCATCTGTCTCCCTTTAAAGTGGGTGTCCTTCATTTGCTGTTTGAAGTTGGAACTATATGATGTCCCCAAGCAGAGGGGTCTCCAAACAAACAGGACTCCCTTCTGACTGAACCTTGAGAATCAACCATGCCTCCTGGCCACACTGGGCATTTCTTCCCATGTAATGACCTCTGAGGCCAGGCTGGAATCTGCTGCTGCAGGGAGCCGTACTATTGTCCTGAGTCCCTTGCAAGTTAGCAACGGCCATATATAGTGTGTAGGAGTTGTCAAGTTTACTGTCTCTCGTGCTTTTTATAGTGGAGGGAAGAATTGCCCAGGGATTTCACATAACTGGTCCACAGTCATTTAACTGATTCTCAAGTCGAAATGGGGGTAGCTGACTCTCAAATATATATATATATAAAACTGCTCTCTACCCAAAGATAAAAATGAAGCCTGAAGAAACCACCCTGATTTTGCCTCTGAGAAAGGTAGCACCTCTCTCTTGTCCAAGGTGTCAGTAGCAACCATAGTCTGAAAGTACTGAGTGGAAATCCCAGAAAAAATTCATATTTTAACGTTTAATACAGCCTGCTGCTCTAATTGTTCTAACTTATGACTTGCTGCTATATAACTCTCTTCATATCTAATTCTCCTTACCGTAGGTATACGTGTATAAGGAAGCAAGGTAGCTAGGTGTTTGGTGCTCTCCATGGTTTCAGCTGTCCACGGGGGGGGGGAACATGGGCGGGGACAGGGACAGGCCTTGAAGCATAACTTCCGTGGACTAAGGGGGTGTGGAAAAAAGGTGTGGCATGAGGAAAGAATCTAGTCAACAGAACACTTCTTTTGTTTTGGTTTTTCTAGACAGGGTTTCTCTGTATTGTTTTGGAGGCTTTCCTAGAACTCACTCTGTAGACCAGTCTGGCCTCGAACTCACAGAGATCCTCCTGCCTCTGCCTCCTGAGTGCACCAACACCGCCTGGTCACATTCTAAAATGTTAATGCCCCATACTCAACAGCAAATAGTTCCTATCTTTTAAGTCAGCCGTATTGTAGTAGTCAGACTTATGTGGCTTGACACTCCTGGGCCTCTGAATACACGCAGGCAGCCCTCCATTGGTGGATGTGACCGGAGTAAACCCTTTTATTTGCTACCTCAGGCTGACAGAGTAGAAAGGGCATTTTTTATTTTTAACTCCCTTTCGGCCGTGACTACGAGTGGGAAGGACATGTCTCAAGGAGGGAAGTACGATACCAGCGATCCTGTTGTTTCTATTGAAGCCTTTTCCAGAACGGCCTGCAAAAGTTTTGTAGAACTTGTCGGCTGTAGAGACTGTTGGGAACTCTTCCTTCAGTCTGTAGCAGACGCTCGTTGCTCCTGTTAGCCATGAGTCAAATGCCAGAGGGCTTATGCCTGTGCTCGAGCATTTCCTGATATCCATGTCACCCCATTCACTACAGTGATATCCATGTCACCCCATTCACTATAGTGATATCCATGTCACCCCATTCACTATAGTGATATCCATGTCACCCCATTCACTATAGTGATATCCATGTCACCCCATTCACTATAGTGATATCCATGTCACCCCATTCACTATAGTGATATCCATGTCACCCCATTCACTACAGTGATATCCATGTCACCCCATTCACTATAGTGATATCCATGTCACCCCATTCACTATAGTGCACTAAAGCCGCGGAAGTCGAATCCTGCCTCTTAGGCAAAGGCCTTCAGCTTCTGCATCTTCGGGCTCTGTACTTGCTCCAGAGAGCGTTTATGTGCCATAAAAACAAAAGCAAAAGCAAAACTCTTTCTTCTTTGGAAACAATTTTCCCTTTAATGGTGTGTGTGTGTGTGTGTGTGTGTGTGTGTGTGTGTGTGTGAGAGTGTGTGTGTGTATGTGTGTGTGTGTTTTAATCTTTCATTTTAGAGCTAGTGTTCATGTATTTTTCAGGATGAATAGAAAAATAGAAGAGAGACGGGTGTGGGAGCGTCGGGGAGAAGGGAGGGGGTGATGGGGAGAAAGAGACTCGGGGCAGCCTAGAGTTGAGGACCCATTGAGAAATGCAGATGTGGGTTATGTAAGAGCCACTGTCTGGTTTTGGCATGGCCTTCAGCAAAGTCACAGAAAATGGTGGTGACAATGGATGTTGTAAGACTTAACTGGGAAGGATCAAAGATGACTCTCGAATAGTGGTGAGGCTGCCTAAGCAGGCCGTTTCTAGATTTCCGTGTGTTCTGGAAAAACAGCTTATGTGCCTCGTATCCCGCCCGTGTCTCAAATGAAGCCCAGTGGTTTTTAGTACAACCACAGACACCTGCTACGGTGAGCACAGTCCGGCACAGCCCGGCACAGTCTGCCACAGTTCGGCACAGTTACCACAGTCCGCCACAGTCTGTTAAGATTTCAGACCTCAGGCCAGGCGTTGGTGGTGCACGCCTTTAATCCCAGCACTCGGGAGACAGAGGCAGGCGGATCTCTGTGTGTTCGAGGCCAGCCTGGTCTACAAAGTGAGTTCCAGGACAGCCTCCAAAGCTACAGAGAAACCCTGTCTCGAAAAACCAAAAAAAAAAAAAAAAAAAAAAGATTTCAGACCTCTAGCTGTTTTATCCCTTCTTTGTGTTTATTTACAAAAATTCAAATTAGATGAAGTCGAAATAAGATTGCTTGTAGAAGACATCAAGGCCCCAGGGCCTTCTGGCTAATGAACCAACTAAGGCTGGTGAGGTCCGTGTGAGGTCTATGCTAGCCCACAGTAGGTCTACAGAGATTGCGGTTTCCGCCCTGTTTCTCTGCCTGAGAAGCAGAGGAGACAGATCAACGCTTGCCGTTGCTAATGAAGTCCAGGCCTAAAGAGCCCGGAGGCTCCATGGAAAGTCTGAGGGCCCTGGTGACTGAGGAAACAGGGTCGTTGGTCTGCAGAACGGTGCCTTCTCCTGTTCCTGGGTGGTTTGCACGGTCAGGAAGCTGCCGGTAATTGCCCTCAGGCTTTTAAACATGAATTTGACTTCATGTAGAAGAACCGAGAAAAGAAGAAGAGAAGGGAGAAGGGGGCGGGGAGGAGACCGCAGGGAGGAGGAAGGAGCTGGCCCCTCCCCCAAGGACTGCTCTTTTCTTCACCCACCTCTTAGTTTTAAAATAAGAGAACTTCAATTTTGGCCTCCTTTTCCCCCCTCCCTGCAGGCCGCCAGATCCCACCGTTGGACCCCCATGAGAATGGAAACAGCGGAGGGATCAGGCTCGGGACCCAGAGCTTGCAGGCCGGCCGGCGGTGCTGCTGACCTGAGGGCCTTGGCATCCGGAGCACAAAGGGAGAAGCCGGAGCCCTCTCCAGGGATGCTCACAGAAGGACCCTACCCTCGGGGACTGGGACTGCCTGCCTGCTGGAGAGAGAGTCAGCACCATTGCACGCTGGGAGACCAGCAGGGTGCTGAGCTGACACGTTCCCTAAAAAGAGGGTACAGAAAACTCGGGAAAACTCACCTCACCACCGCAACATGGCTTATGAGACCACACGGCAGGGGGTTTACTTACTAGGCAATAGGTGCAGTTGCCATTTTTGTTAAAGAAATTTCTAGATTTGTTCACAAACCTTGGCGTGCTGCTCTCCCCTGACTTCCCAGTCACCTAGTTTAGATTACAGTAACTTCTCTGGGCCCAGGGCCACCTTCTCTGGACAGCTCACCGAAAGACAATATATAGAAGGTTGGCTTTTAGCTGGCTTTGGGAGAAAGCCTTTGTGGGTTTTCTGAGGGAAATCAGAGAAGTACAGCTGGTCATTTGAACTGAGAATTGATCTTCTGCAAAAGAGACAAAAGTTGTATTAGAATTTGCCATCTGTGTGTCCTTTTTTATGTAACTGATGAACTTTTTTCTAAGGCATAGTCATACATAAACCAGCCAAGTCAGATTAGAGCTTGACGTATCCTTTTGGGGATGGGAGGCCCGGTTTAAAAAGAGTTATGTAGTTGGTATGTAAGCAGTGGTAGGTGGGGGATATAAATAGCATCCCCGGTACCACCCAGCTTGTGTCCTCTCCTCTGTAATGAGTTTCTGCTCTTGGAGATGATTAATCCACAGAACATTGTTTTACTAGGAGACTATGTTGTAGAGTCACGTCTAAGGGAAAAATCTAATCAGAGGATGTTGAGTCTACATTGTAGGGCAAACTTCTATTAATAGCAGCTAACCATGGCTGTAGCAGGACATCCAGAGGAATGTTATCACCTTAAAACTCTGCACCCCCTGAAGGTATAAAAATCAGAATTACTTTAATAGTAGCCAGCCTTGGAAAGAAAGGCCGTCAAGCAGACAGAGTCAGGTTCCTGTCACGGACAGTCAAGCAGACAGAGTCAGGTTCCTGTCACGGACAGGAACATGTGTACATCCATGTGGGTTCTTCCTGCTTCTCCCAACTTGGGAGTTAATTGAATCTTAGAATACGCAGGATGGAAAATCCTTGTCTTGATTCAAGAGTGTCCCCCAGTGTCCCATAACAGGCACCTCAAGCACTGTTAGCACATGGCATCTGTGTGTCATGACAGGGCCTTCTCAAGGACGGTGAGTGCCTGTCCCATGTTGCCAATGTCACTGGCTGACAGGACCTCCATGCTGACAAAGACGTTGGTCCACTCACTACAGGTCAAAGAAACAAAAAACTAATCGGGTTGAAGCAGAAATGGCCCCTCTCCAGGTAGTACCAAACTTATGCTTGAACCTCCCCTGTTTTAGGGAACCTTCCTGAGGGGAGCTTGCATTTGTCTAGCTGGCTGTCTAGATTTCCAAGCTGAGACAGTACTTTCCCCAGAAGAGAATGTCATGGCTTTGGATGGGGTTTGCAGTGACTCAATTTTGCATGCACTGTCTGGGCTTTCCCTGACGGAGGCGGGCCACTCTGGGTGTGTTGAGAAGCACATGAGGGAACGGAACCTTGCTTTTCCTGGGCTGCCTTGCCATTGGTGTCAAAGCCAGGCAGAGGGCAAGTCTACATGTGTGTCCCCACCATGAACAAAGACAGTATGTGGCCTTGGGCACACAAATATTCATGCCATCTCGGGCCTTCTCTGCAGACAGATGCTGTAGCCTTTGGTGCCTTTCTCCCCTTGGCTTGGGATTACTTCCGGGCTGTTTTATCAATTGACCTTTAGTCACAGAAAAGCATGTAAAGACCTAGAAATTACAACTGTTCCAGATATAGGCTATATTTTCCTTATCGTCGTTGCCAAAATTCCCTTCCCAACCCTTCCCAACATGCAGCAGGTTTGTCTATGTGTAAATATAATTGATGTTGGCTACACCTACATGTAATCCATTTCAGAGTGGCTGGGTTTGCCTCATGACCTTGTGTCTGTGAGGCACGTGTTGTCAAAGGGATTCTTTCCCAGTAGAAATCCCTAAGGATAGTGCTAGAGTTGCGTAAATGTTTTACATAGGTACAGAATCGACTTGCCATTTTTTTAGTAGAAAATGGTACATTAAGGTACTGACTATGATGTCACCGTGCAGACCAACCTGCATTCTCGCCAACAGTAAGGGCTGTGCCCCAGTGGGAATCCCGCTCTCTCCTGAGGGAGGTTGGGAGGATTGAAACGCTCCCTCTGGCCTTAAGGACTGTGGTCTGTGTAGGCATCCCTCCTTGCTCCTCTGCGGTGCTCAGGGCAGGGGGTAAGAAGCCAGCCTCAGCCAAGAGCTCTGGCTGTGTTCAGACCTGCTCATGCCTTTCACCACCGTGTGACGCCCAGTGACCCGGCAGTCACGCCGTCACACCGACTGTCCCCCTTTCTGGTGTCTTTGTAAAGGGTTTCCGCTTGGGCTGGACCCAGGTTTTGCACCTAGACGACCCCCTCCCCAGACACCTAGAACCTTCCCATCTCTCACCCCGCTCTATGGCGAAGCATTTCCCTAGTGCTCATTTGTATCCATTGCTTTTGACTTTAACCCATACTAATAAATATTTTAAGTTTTACTGAGTATCTTTTTTTTATTATTACAATCAGCAAAAAATGATTGTTTAAAAGTCAACTCAGAATAAAAAGGAACACGTAAACCTGTGCGTGTGAAGGTCTGAAGAAGACCGTTCACCGAGGCCCCGTTGGCAATAGCTAATTGTCATCCACTAAGGAAACAGACATGATCAAAGCTGTGGGGCAGGGCGGGGGTAGGAAGAGTGCCTTGCCTCTAATGAATCACCTTGTGTCTCTTAAGCAGAGGGCTTCGCTGCCCCGAGGGAGCCACTCACCGGAGTCTGTGACATGGCCCCCAGTCTGTGCGCTGCAGAGCGTGGGAGAGGAACCGTGACCCTGGATGCACGAATAAGGACAACTGGGGTTGTCCTAGTTAGGGTTCCTATGCTGCAAAGAGACACCGTGACCACAGCAACTCTTACAAAGGAGAACATCTAAATGGGGGGTGGCTTACAGTTCGGAGGTCTAGTCCCTTGTCGTCATGACGGGAAGCATGGCGGCGTGCAGGCAGACGTGGTGCTGGAGAAGGGGCTGAGAGCCCCACACCCTGATTTGCAAGCAGCAGGAAGAGACTGTGTGTCACGCTGGGCATAGCTTGGGCATAGGAGACCTCAAAACCTGCCCCAACAATGACGAGCTTCCTCCAACAAGGCCGTACTCCCTGACAGTGCGGATTCCCATAGGAATGCATTCAAACACTTGAGTCTGTGGGGCCATAGTGTTCAAACCACCACAGAGGTATAATGGTGACTATGGATGTGTGGATGGAAACTGAAACCTAAGAAGGAAAAACATCGGCTTGTGAAGCCGATGACACCAAATCAGGTCAAAGGCAAAAGAGGCATTTAACTATCAGCAGTTTTCATTTATTTCATGGTCTAAAAATCTGAAGCCAATACCTGGCATAGCTAGCACACTCCTTTAATTCCAGCACCAGGGAAACAAAGACAGGCCGATCTCTGTGATTTCATTTCCAGTCTGGTCTACGTAGTGAGTTCCAGGTCAGCCAGGGCTACACAGTGAGACGCTGTCTCAATTAATCATTAAATAGACAAATAAGTAAGAAAATCCGAAATAAATATGCTGACATGACAGTATTAGATAAATTGAAGGCAGGTGTTTCACCAACCTCTATGTTTTGCCGGTATGTCTTTTTCAGAGGTGGAGGGTTATCGAGGCAAGGGTGAAGTTAGCTTTAGCGTGCTAGAAAGCTCTTGACCATTGCCAGCCTGAGGGAGCACACCGCACCGCTGTCTCCTCAGCTCCCCTGCCCGCCCGCTGGCCCACTGGCTGGCGGAGCTTGTGTTTCCCTGTGGAGCACATGCTGAATAGACAGCAGGCCTGTGTGGGGTGCTGCGCTGTGTTCTCTACGTTTGAGAGGTGCCAAGGCATGCTGGGAAGCCGCTGGGTGCACACTGGCCGCACGTGATCAAACGAGAATAGAAGACGCTCTACCACAGGGGGGGGGGAGTGGCCCATTGGGTAAGAGCGCTTGCTTGCTGCATAAGCATGAAGACCTGAGTTTGTACCCCCAACACCCACATACATCCAGGCATTCACCCACGTTCCTGTAACCCCAGCATATGCTAGGCAGCGGCCAACCAGCCTAGCAGGAACCCGAGGCTCAGTGAGAGACTCTGCATCAGGAAAGGAGTGTGGACCACGATAAAGCAGGATGCCTGATAGCTCCCTAAGTTCTGCATACATGTGTGCATGGATGAGGACACACATGCAAGCACACACATGCCACAAACAATAACAAAAAAGACTTCAGGTTGAAGCCCTCTTGATTGAATTCTGGTGATTCTATGAGACATGACAGAGACCAGATCACATGTCTGTAAATAACCTTTACTTTTCAGTATGCGACATCTCATTTCACCTCAAGACTCTGCCAGCAAGTAGGCCGTCCCCAGACATGGGTCAATGACCATAGACTAAACTGTTGACCCCAAATGTCTTTTTTTAAGTGAATTTTGTTATTAGCGACAAACAGATGTTTGATCACTTTGGTATGACAGGGGAAGATGCATGTTGGAGAGGGAATCCAAAAACTCAAGAGTTTGTGGATAAGGATCTTCTTACAGCTATCTTTAAACAATCCACATCTCTCCACCCATCTATCTCTCTAACCACCCACCAGTCCCCATGCTCATCCATCCACCCATCTCTAACCACCCAACTACCCACTCAACACTCAACCATCTACCCTTCCGTGTCCCTAAGTATTGACCCATCTACTCACTCACTCACTCACCCATCCACCCACCTCCCCACTCACCTATCTGCCTACCTGCCCGTTCATACAGCCACCTACCTAGACACCCACGCATCTCTTCACCCACAGCAACCCATCTGTCCATCTGTCCATCCACTCACTTTTCCAGTAAGGGTTTATTGAGTGATGGGGAAGTTCTGTGTATATGTCAAAAAAGCACTGTTGGCCAATGGGGAAGCAAGATAGGTGGGAGTAGGAGTTGAGGTGGATTCTGGGAAAGAGAGACACGGCAGAGACAATGTAGCCTGCCAGAGAAGTAAGATGTCTGGACCCCTTTCTCTGGTAAGAGAAATACTTAGATTAACAATTATGGGGTAATTACTTAAGTCAGAGCTAGCCAGTAAGAAACAAGCAAGGCCAACAGCTTCATAATTAATATAGCCTCCTGTGTGTTCCTTTGGGACAGATGCGGCTCTGGAACCAGGCTGGCGGGAAGGCTGCACGTTACAATTGAGGGTTCTTGTGAGTCAAATGCTGAGTAGTTCCTCCATGTCCCCACCCACCCATGCACTCCCCAAGCTTGTAAGGAAGAGACAGGAAGTTTAAAGACAAGCTAACCTAGACTATCAGGACTGAACGGAAGTCCCAACTGCAGGCAAGACAACTTGACTTAGAGGCACTCTCACATAGGAGCAGGGACCAGGATCGTAGGCATCTACTCCACTCCTAACCCTCAGATGAGCAAGGCACACCGTCTCTCTGGCCTCAGCCTCTCCTGAAAAATGGGGACAATGCGATGAGCCAGGGCTAACCCCAAGATGAAGTGAAGCAATTGATGAATTAGGGCAGTCAGCACAAGCTTCAGTCTCGGGCTGTGCTGGAAAGGGTCCTCTTCTGACTTCTGAGTTACCGCGCTTTTTATTCTTATCCCCTCATTTTGTACCTTCAAGGATGTTTAGAAACTTAACGAACGTTGGCTTCTCCAGCCTCTCTCTCTCCCCTTCCCCCGGGACGGTCCCTGTTTCTGTTTCTGTGTCTTGAGCTCCATGGTTCCTCAGTTGCACCGCCCCCCTTTCTTTGTCTTTTGCTGGATTAGGCAATCTTCCTGCTTAAATATCGTTGCCGTCTGTAAGCCTCTTGTGATGGCTGGTCTTGCGTCAGCTCCACTGACTTGAGACATCTTGGAGGCCAGTAAGACACACCTCCGGCTGTGAGTGAGCAGGCGCTTCACACACACACACACACACACACACACACACACACACACACACACACACACACACACCGCCCAATGGATGCAAAATTTCAATAGGATATGGTGGAACCTGGAAGACTGGGTCACTGGAGTGTGTCTTAGAAGGACAAATCTGGTAGGCCTCAAACCTGGGACAAAATGGCTAACTGAGGATACCTATTTAACATGTCAAAGTGGACCTGGCCCCGGCTTCTCCCTACCGGATATGCTACGTCAACTTGACACAAGCGAGGGTTATCTGAAAGGAGGGAGCCTTCATTGAGGAAATGCATCCGGAAAAGGTCCAGATGTAGGGCATTTTCCTAATTAGTGACTGGTGGGGGATGGGTCCTGGGCTCTATAGGAAAGCAGGCTGGGTAAGCAGTGGGAAGCAGGCCAGTGAGCAGCTCCCTCCACGGCCTCTGCCTCAGCTCCTGCCTGCAGGTTCCTGCCCTGTTTGAGTTCCTGTCCCGACTTCCTTTGGTGATGAACAGCAATAAGGATGTGTAAACCAAATAAACCGTTTCCTCCCCAGCTTGCTTTTTGGTCACAGTGTTTTGTCCCAGCAATAGAAACCCTAATTAAGGGGCTGGAGAGATGGCTCAGAGGTTAAAGAGCACTGACTGCTCTTCCAGAGGTCATGAGTTCAATTCCCAGCAACCACATTGTGGGCCCTCTCCTGGCATCCAAGGCTGAATGCTCTATACATAATAAATAAATCTTAAAAAGAAAAGAAAAGAGCCGGGCGTTGGTGGCGCACGCCTTTAGTCCCAGCACTTGGGAGGCAGAGGCAGGTGGATCTCTGCGTTGGAGACCAGCCTGGTCTACAAGAGCTAGTTCCAGGACAGCCTCCAAAGCCACAGAGAAACCCTGTCTTAAAAAACCAAAAAAAAAAAAAAAAAAAAAAAAAAAAAGAAAAGAAAAGAAAAAGAAACCCTAACTAAGACAAGTTGGGGTATTGCTGTGAGAGACCCGACCACGTTTTGGGGGAGGATTGGGAAAAGACTTCAGACCTTTGGACTAGAAAATCCATTGAGCATTGAGAGCTCAGTGGGGATGTCCTGTGCGAGCCTGGAAGATAAGAATGTTGAGAGTGATGCAGAGGATGCTGGCCCGGCTTGTGACGTTTCAGAGGGAAGACTCTATCAGGGCCACTCGCTACTGTTTAAGATCCTGCGGTTCTTCTGGTCAGGGGTGGCTGAAGAATCAGCGGTGATTAACAAGACACAGAACCACTAAAGCAAACCCTGTGCCTTGCTGGGACACTCGATGCTGCTCGGCTGGGGCAGAGAGTTTGGGGGTGCTGGAGAAGAGACCAGGGTTGCTGGGCTGAGATCTTCTGGGAAGCACGCAGAAGCTGTGCTCCGGCGGCGGCCACGGCTGTAGCTCGTGCTGGCCGGCAGCAGGACTTGGTCATGTGTAAGAGTCACCCAGGTGGCACTGGTTTTGAAGCCGTGAAGGAGAGCAGCTGAGGCTCTGCACTGTGAGAGGCCGGGAGAGGCCATTGGTGAAGGTGCAGCCTTGGTGGCAGCTGAAGGGTCAGATTGAAG